GTAAAAAAGCATCTTAGTCACAGATTGCTGGAGTGACCAAGTCCTAGAGTCTGAGGCCCACAGGGCTGGAAGGACCTCCTAGTCCATCTACACTACTTCATGCTTTACAGAGGGTGACGGAGCTCAGTGTGCCAGGAAGGCGATGCCCAAGGCCACACAGAGAGGCCGGGAGGGGAACGGAACCAGGGCTGTGGGCCAGGTCTGAGCGCCAGGCTCCAAGCAGCCCAGAGAAAGGCTCTGCGCACTCAGGGCCTCCCATCCAGGTTGTAACTGCACCCCGAGATCAACTCAGGGTCACAAGTCCCCCAAGGCCAGTGGCTCTACCTGGGCCCTGGTGCAGCTCTCCCACAAACACACTGTGTGACCAGGGCCGGGCAACTCTACCTCTCTGGCCTCAAGTTTCCTCTTCTGTAAAATGGACATAATAGTGCCTGGGGCAAAGATGGGTGGTGAGGATTTAACAAGACAGTGCTCAGAAGACAAGCAGTACTCATCCCCACACAGAAACACCCAGGAAGAGGGGAGCTGCTGTGATCAGCGTTAGACCCAGAAAGATGTCTCGCTGTGTGGTAGAAAGAGCTTAGTGTCCCCTCCCCTCCTCTTGATTTTTCCATTGATAAAATATTGGGGGAGGGTGTAACACATAGGGCAGGGGGGCTAAACCAGATCGATGGTGTTCGCACTTATTTTAACTCTGGAATCCTCCGATGAAATCTGACCTGGAACTCAGCACATAATAATGCGTTAGAAGGGGGAAGGCATAGCTCAGTGGTAGAGGACGTGCTTAGCATGCTCAAGGTCCTGGGTTCAATCTCCAGTACCTCCATGAAAAACAATTAAATTAAAATAAATAAATAAACCTAATTATCTCGCCCCCAAACAAACAAACAAAAAATGCTTTAGAGCCTGAATTCTGAGCCTGGCTGCCTGGCTTCAAATCCCAGTTTATTAGCTAAGGAGCTGTGTGACCTGGACATGTATCTCTGTCTCTCTGTGCCTCAA